CTTTCTTAATTTTAAACCATTCAGTGTTCCCATGTTCTGTTGGGAAGTTTGAAATTATCAGTTGTTCTGCAGGAGAAAGTTGAGGCTTTCTGCTAGGGTTGCTATGAGTCAGAACTGACTCCACAGCACATCACCACCATATGTATGTTGTTGTTGATAAGTACTAATGAGCTGTGTGTGTATGTTGTTTGTATTAAATGCTGTTGAGTCAGTTCCAACTCATAGTGACCTTCACATGGTTTCCAAGGCTATCCTTGGAAAGGATAAAAAGAAAGCCTCATCTTTCTTCCGCATAACAGCTGCTAGTTTTGAACTGCAGACCTTGAGATTAGCAGCCCAATTCATAACCACTACTCTATCAGAGCTCCATACATATATACATATATATAGACAACTCGGTGTGGCACTGCAGAATAATGCACTGGACCACAAGGTTAATTTGAACCATAAGGTCAGCAGTTCAAAATCAACAGCTGCTCCTTGGCAACCCTATACAAGGTCGCTATGAGTCGGAACTGACTCAACAGCATTTAGCATAAACAACATACACACAGCCCAACTCATAACCATTACGCTACCAGAGCAAGTATATTTGGCTGTGAGTTAATGTGCTAGACTGCAAAGTCACTTTGAACCACAAGGTCGGTGGTTCAGGCTCACCAGCTGCTCCTCAGAAACCCTGTACAGGGTCGCTATGGGTCAGAACCAACTTGATGGCACTTAACAATAACAACAGTAATATAATAGTAATTGTAATGGATTTTAAAGGATAATTCTGTAACCATAGAAAGTTTTTAAATAATTACTAAAATCTGTTATAGCATTATTTTTCAAATACCAAAATAAAAGTATATATTTTATATTAACTAACATTGCTGTTAATTTATTTATATAGTTAATTACTACAATCATACCACAGAGATATTGGGAGTTCATTTCCAGACCACCACTGTAAAGCAAATATCAAAATAAAGTGAGTCATACGAATTTTCTAGTTTCTGAGTACATATAAAAGTTATCTTTACACTATACAGTAACCTATTAAGTGTGCAGTAGTCTTGTGAGAAAGTTTGAAATATTGTTAGAATTACCAAATGTGATTCAGAGACACAAATTATGCACATGCAGTTGGGAAAACTTGAGTCAGTTTGGCTTGCTTGATGTTTGATATTATCACAAACCTACAATTTAGAAAATACAGTGTCTTTGAAGCACAATAAAATAAGGTATACCTGTAATATATTTGAATATTCACATTTTCTTTGGTCCCACAAAATATGTAGATGCAATGTGAATGTTTAGAATAGAATCATTTTCAGATATTATGATGCTTTTGTTTCCTCATTTGTCAAATAAAGACTTTGGACCATGTGATCCTGAAGTTTTCTCTAGATTCTGAAGAACGAAGAAAGTGTAGGTCTATTGTGGAGAGTGAAAATGCATCACAAGTGTGACATCACGCCTCTCTCTCACTAGTGTTCCGAGGTTTTGATAAAGATAACGATGGCTGGGTCAATGTAGCAGAGTGGATTAACGGATTATCACTGTTTCTTCGAGGGTCTTTGGAAGAAAAAATGAAATGTAAGATTTCAGGTTATATCCCCCTTTCCAAGACTGATTTTGTGTTTTTACATCATGGTTACCATATCTTAAGTATTTAAGTCATCTAATGAGCTGGGTGAGTTTGTTTGTTTATTTTAATGCCCGTTATGTATCTCTTGTACAGAATGAATTCAAATCATTGATAAAGGATGAATAAAAACTAGTGAAAAAGGAAAGCCAGGAGGTTCTGAGGAGGAGTCCAAGCCTAGCAAGATGACACAGGCATATACCACACATGCTAATTATGTAGATAAGTTTTTAAGTATTAACCATTTAATATATTCCTGTACTTGAATTGTGATTACACATTCCGAGAATATAGATTCAAGTGCTCAGCCTTAATGAATTATTAATTTTGATAAACTCTGTTTAAGAGTCCTGCTCTAATCACTTTCCTTAGGGTTTCCAGATGAAAATGTCCACATTATTGTTTTTCACTTTTTCATAGTTGAGTTAAGAAAACATACTTAGCAAATTGTTGAATATATTCCACTAGTACATCGGAGCCCTGGTGTGGTGCTGTAGGATAAGCACTGGACTGCTGACTGAAAGATGAGCAGTTCAAGCCACCAGCGGTTCCTCCGAAACTCCATATGGGTTGCCATGAGTTGGAACCAACTCAGTGGTACTTAACAACAACAAAAAGTGTATCTAAATTTCTTACTGTGGAAGTCAGCTTGCACTAAATCCCATGGGTATGATAAAAGCATCAGCAATATAGTTTTTGGCTTTGAAAACTTTATCAGGGCAAATGTTACCTTAGTAATCGTATCATATTTATAATTTGTCTTTTTTTTCTTTTTTTTTTAGATTGCTTTGACGTGTTTGATTTGAATGGTGATGGATTTATTTCAAAGGAGGAAATGTTTCACATGTTGAAGAATAGCCTGCTGAAACAGCCATCTGAAGAGGATCCTGATGAGGGGATAAAAGATTTGGTTGAAATAACACTAAAGAAAATGGTAAATATGTACAAATTAGGGTTTTTATTGAAATTGATAGGCCAGATATAGGAAAGAAATAAGAAATAAAATTGGGACAACCATCATATTCCTGCTTAGTGAATGGAATATTTGAATGGTGTTCCTTGATTATATATAATATTAAAAGTGATTTCAATTTCCCTACTTAACCTCTTAGTTCACTATCTTCTTTCTTCTATTAACTCCTTATTTATTTGCAGGTGAGTCCTTTTTAATATATTTACTAGTATGTGACTCTCCCTGCCCAGGACTATGATCATGATGGGAAGCTGTCTTTTGCGGACTATGAACAAGCTGTGAGAGAAGAGACTCTTCTGTTGGAAGCTTTTGGACCATGCTTACCTGATCCAAAGGTAACAATAGTACTTGTACTAAACCATGACCAAAACATAAACTAAGACAAACAACCAGGACTTACTGGCTGATTAGTGGTAATCGGATAAGTAAAGTTCACCCAGAGAGAATTGCTTTTAAATTTATCAATTTGATAAAAACCTACGTATTCTTCTCATAGTACTAGTATACTCCTTTGCTTTTTCCCCCATTCATTAAATCACTTATGCATGTAAGAAACAATTGTTGCTAAATGCTGTTGAATTGGTACCAACTTATATCACCCTGTATAGAGTTTCTGAGGAGAAGCTGGTCGGTTTGAATCACCATTGCTTATTCTACAGCACTACACCAGAACTCCAAGAAACAGTTGTTCTTGTTGTTGTCAAGTGCCATGGATTCAGTTCAGACTCATAGCGACCCTGGATAGGTTTCTGAGACTGTAAACCTTTATGGGAGTAGAAAGCCTCATCTTTCTCCTGTGAAACAGTTGGTAGTATTGAACTGCTGACCTTGAGGTTTGCAGCCCAACTTGTAACCATTATGCTACCAGAGCTTCTTTAAGAAACAATGAGTTTTAATACATGGCAATTAATCTCTATTAGAAGAGCAGTCAGTTTGGGTTGCAGTTGGTGATGAGGCTTGGACATACACAGTTCTGTGCAACTTGGAGCTTGGATTTAGTCATGAAGTTGATGAGAATTCATTGAATGATTTTAAGCAGGTAGAATGATGTGATATATAAATATTATTGGCATGTGAACTAATTTGTTGTTAACCAAAAATTGGTACTTTGCACCCACCAAGCTCTTATCAGGAGAAAGAGATGGCAGTTTGCTACTGTAAAGATAGGTGGTGATGGTTATGTGTTGTGGAGTTGGTTCCAACTTATAGTGACCCTGTACAGGGGTTATGAAGCTATACATCTTTATGGAAGCAGAAATCCTCATCTTTCTCCCACAGAACAACTGGTAGTTTTGAACTGCTGACCTTGTGGTTCGCAGCCTGATTCGTAACCACTACGCTACCAGAGCTCCTTACAGCCTTGGAAATCCTCTAGTCTGTCCTAGAGGATCACTGTGAGTCAGAATCAAGTTGATGGCAATGTGTGTGATTTGGGTTTTCAACTGAGTGCCCAGCAGCCTATGCAACATGTCCACTGAGATGTCTCAAACACACTCTTAGTTTTCCCCAATCCTGCTTCTTCTATCTGTGCCTTTCTTGTATCAATAAATGAAATCCCATGCATTGTGGTGTTCAGTCGAAACCAACAAGTCCTAAATTTCTCTCTTTTAGTGGTACCTACTTCTCCTTTAAAACAGATCCTGAACATGACTCTTCACCTGCCAATTACCCACGGTCAGTTGTCACTAGTTTAGATATATGTTGTTGTTGTTAGGTGCCATTGAGTTGGTGCCGACCACAGCAGAAGGAAACACTGA